ACAGAACACACAAAACCAGAAAACAGAACACAACACAACCAGAAAACAGAACACAACTAGAAAACAGAACACACAAACAGAACAGAAAACAGAAACACAACCAGAAAACAGAACACAACCAGAAAAACAGAAACACACAACCAGAAACACAGAACACACAACTAGAAAACAGAACACAACCAGAAAACAGAACACAACCAGAAAACAGAACACACAAACCAGAAAACAGAACACACAGAAAACAGAACACACAACCAGAAAACAGAACACAACCAGAAAACAGAACACACAACTAGAAAACAGAACACACAACCAGAAAACAGAACACAACCAGAAAACAGAACACAACCAGAAAACAGAACACAACCAGAAAACAGAAACACACAACCAGAAAACAGAACACACAACTAGAAAACAGAACACACAACTAGAAAACAGAACACAACCAGAAAACAGAACACACAACCAGAAAACAGAACACAACCAGAAAACAGAACACAACCAGAAAACAGAACACAACCAGAAAACAGAACACAACCAGAAAACAGAACACAACCAGAAAAACACTTTAGTGCAGTTTGTCAATTCCTAGAACTTTTTTTTTTTTTCTTCTTTTTTACTTTTCTGAACAAAGCAAGTTGCGAAGACATACACAATTATGATTATTATTATTATTACCTCCGCCAAGGAGGTTATGTTTTTGCCGGCGTTTGTCTGTTTGTTTGTTTGTTTGTTGTTTGTTTGTTTGTTTGTTTGTTTGTCTGTTAGCAAAATAACTCAAAAAGTTATGGACCAATTTTGATGAAATTTTCAGGATTTGTTGGAAATGGGAAAAGGAAGAACTGATTTCATTTTGGGGCTGATCCGGAAGAAATCCTGGATTCTGGATCACTTTGAAATTTTAGTAAACATTGTGGTAAATGGGGCCAAAAATTTTGTTTCTCAATATCTGGGTTAATTATTGACCAAACCCCATGAAATTTGACTCAGGGATGGACAATGGGATCCTCTTTCATATTCCAAATTGAAAGATACGAGACAAATATTTATGGAAAACACAATTAATATGAGGGGGACTGTAGTCCTTGGCGGAGGGTCTGCGCTCTCTGAGTGCTTTTCTAGTTAAGAATGTGATCGCTGACACTGACTTCTCGTGGAAGAAAATAGAGACCAGAGGACGTGGGGATGGGGGATCCGATGAAGAGCGATGGACGGTGCGGTGGTGCCCCCGAAAGCTCTTGGTGTGGTACTCGCTGTGTGTAATGTGCGTGCGGAGCGACGGCTCTGACACGTTGCGTCTCTCGTGGTCGGCCAAAGTCTCGCTCCACTTGATTCACTGAATGATTTTGCATCAGCCGAGTGTGTTGCATTTAAATTTCAGACTCGTGAAACTCCAGTGATGAAACAGTTCAGTGTTGCAGTCTTAGAAATGACTTTGTCTGTGTCGACTTCGCCGTCTGAAGAACTTTAAAATGAAAACGTCTGTGTAAAAGTTCCTCATCCTTCTCCATGTTTGTTTATCCCGCATTGTTTCTCTCTGTTTCCTGTGAGCGCCGCAGCTGTAAGAAACATTCTAGTCTCGCTTACGATGGACTTTTTCAAAATAAAAGCCAATTTACAATAAAAAAATAAATAATAAATCAGCGTCAAGAGGAGAAAAATAATTGTCAGCGATAATGACACAAAATGAACGCGTTAACGTGCCCGACCCTGCTCATAAGTATCGTTTTTATGAGGTCGCCCTCCCATTGCTCTCTGCGCTAAGTCACTCCCCCTTCAGAGCACTATCACAACACAATCACCGTGTATCCCGCTGTTGAAACTCCTGCACATCTCATCAGGTTTGAGAAATCGTCGCGCACATTTTTGCGTCGTGTTTCTGAATGTTCATGGAGAACTGTCGAGTGGGAGAATATAGACGGCGTAAGCTTGTGGGCGGAGCTTCGTACATACTCGTACTTACAGCAAATCGCAAGGAGGGTTTGACAAGGGCCTCGCAAACATACATGGACGAGTCTAAAACCTCTTCAGACGTGTTTTTTTTTAACGAGAGAACAAAGTTATAACACTGTAGAAAGCGAAATAAAACCGAAACCGTCTATAAGTTTTTAAAAAATTCTCGTATATTACATTTTGCCTCCCGCCCTCGTCAGGATTCCAGAGCTCCGGGGCAGTTGGAGCAGACTCTCCACAAACCCAGGAGGCACTTCAGGTTACATAACATCAGTCACACTGATGACCAAGAGAGTTAAAATTAGCTGCGGCCATACACAAGACAAGAATACACGTATGAAACTGTGTAATGGTTTTCAGGGTCAACTGCGCGATCGTACTCGCACTAGTAAAGAATATTTTCGATTTAATTTACGCGTAGAAGAGATTAAAGTGCGTATGCTTCGTGTTTTTGTAATTCTGACTTGGTTCGGCGGAGAGTACGGTCAAAATTTATCATATTTTTACATTTACACGTGGCAGAAAATATAAAAATACAAAAATTAGAGCTGAATTTGAAACAAAATCTCTTTATCTATGTCATCAACACGGAAAACTCCATCCAAAACGCACTTTAAACGATAAGTGTGGCACAGTGGCATGAACATTCGCCCAACAACAGGAGGGTTGTCGGTAGAGATGCACCGATCCAGCTGTTTTGGCTTCGATACCGATGCCGATTAAGTCAAAGATGTTGATTTTGTGTTCTTATGTACTTTAACTTCTTCAGTTCTTTTTAAAGACAATACAGTAAACTTACCTACCGCAGTACTCCTTACTCCTTACGATATCGATACTTTGACCGTAAGAATCTGCTGATACCTGAGATTAACCCAAACCAGTACAGGTGGAAATTGTCATTTATTGAATTTAAACAGACATCTTTTATTTCGCAAGAGATCCAATTGTGTTATGCAACTGTGTTATTTATTAGTGCTGTCAAAAATATCGTGTTATTAATGAGTTAACGCAAAAATATTTTACTGCAAACTAGTTTTTCATAAACTGTGGTCACTGCTCTAACGTTAGACAAAAAATAATAATAATAACGATTCAGCTGTAAACATGAAGCAAAACAATTTCTATGAAACTGAGGAGCTCTGTCAGGGCGATGATGTTATTCATAGAAGGAAAACACGAAATAAACTCTGCTCCAAAACATACATCAAATCCGCACTGACCTTCGATAAGAACTGTGACAGAGACAAAAGTTAACGAGGATAACTGGTATATTAAGCTTTTCCCGAACCCCGTAGGAAGAAGGACAATAACGTCTTTCACCTCGATAAAATTCACCAAACATTCTCTTTGTTGCGGCTTTAAATCCTTGATCTCGAGAATCGTTGCCAACACAGAATGTCTGTCTCTTCTCTGATCGCCCGGACTCTCACTTCGGTTCGGTTCTTACAAACTGTCTAGAAAACCAAAAAAAAAACGATTCAGCTGTAAACATGAAGCAAAACAATTTGTGTGAAACTGTGAAGCCCTGTGTGTGCGCTGATGTTACTCATAAGAGGAAAACATGAAATAAATAAACATCGCTTCAAAACACACGGTGAATCCACGCTGACCTTCAATAAAGACTGTGACCGTGACAGAAGTTTTACAGGTTATTTTCCAGCTGTTTTCTCTGCTCTGAGCTGTTGTTATCTCCATAAACTCACAGAGGAGCAGGACTCATATCTGTCTCATTATTTAACAGATATTTCTGCCGCTGGACTTATTTTCTCCACTAAAGCGTTCGCGCTGCTGCCACATGTAAACAAACAGCGTCGTGTGAGGACGTCATCGACCTCAGAACAGCAGCGTTGGGACAAACACATCACAAACACAGATGCATAAAAAAAAAAAAACATTTCCACAAAACCTATCCACTTTTCTATGTTGATAAAACTATTAAAATGATTATTCAAGGGACAAAAATGGTTTCCACAAGCATTAGGATTCGTTCCCTCGACAGTAGGTACTTTTTTTATTTAACCAAACGCTGCTGTTTGGTCGTGACGTATGTAATGCACCAAATCTTACAAGAAGAAGGACAATAACGTCTTTCCAATTGACAAAATTCACCAAACATTCTCTTTGTTTCGGCTTTAAATCCTCAATCTCGGGAATCTTTACCAACACAGAATATCTGTCTCTTCGCTGATTGGCTGGTGCCCGAACTCACACTTTTGGGGGTTTTGCGAACCATCTAGTGTTTTCTGATTCCTGATCTAGTCGCTGGAGAGAAATTCAACTGAGCGGCGGCGCTTGTTGGCACCAGCCTGACTACAAAAATGTGCGATTCATTGCGAGTTAACTATGACATTCATGAGATTAATTGTGATTCAGTATTTTATTTAATCAATTGACAGCACTGTTATTTATCCTTCAACTCACGACTGAAGAAGTTTGTATGAATAAAAGTTCAAACACGATGAGACGTTCTAGGCTTAACCGATATTACGCAACCGATACCTGATCGTTATTGGCACTGATACTCGATGCCAGTATCACTTGTCGGGTTTCTTTTGGTCCTGTCGTGCCGTTGCTTTTGGTTTGAACAGTCTTATCCGTGTTTACCTGTGTTTCCATGGCAACACAATCCTGGGTCTGGACGTGCTGTGGTTCTGCTCTAAGCTCAGAATGTGCACAAAGACACACACATACACACACACACACACACACACACACACGCACACACGCACACAGAGCAAGTATGAGCTCACAGGAGATGAGCTCACAGTGAGGCTTGTGCGGAGGCCAGGGCACCCATGGGTGTCTCCTCTCCTGCTGGGCGACCTCCTCTGCTTTCGCTCACATGTCAGGGTGTCATGTGGCCTTCTCATGTACAACTGCCTGTGTGTGTGCAGCGTGTTTCAGCGTCCAAACAAACGCGACAACAACTCAAACTTTAAAGGTCCGATATCACACAAAATGCCTCTGTGAGGAAGTTGTGCGTCGGTGAGAGGTTTTGGTGCCGTGTCTGACTGTGAGTGTGTTGTGTTGTGTTGTGTTGTGCCCAGGCCGGTGCCCAACCTGTCGTCCCTGCTGCACATGAGGAGCAGACACAGACAGCCTCTGCCCGCCTCCCTGCCCGGGACCCTCCCCGACCCCGCCATGCAGGGGGCGGCGGCGCACCACATACACGTGAGTACCACAACGCACAAAACACAAACACACACAACACACAAACACACAAACACATAAACACACAAACACACAAACACACAACACACAACACACGCACAAACACATAAACGCACGAACGCACAAAACACGCACAAACACACAACACGACGCACAAACACACAACACAACGCACAAACACACAAACACACAAACACACAACACAACACACAAAACGCACAAACACACACACACACACACAAACACACACAAACGCACAACACACAAACACACAAAACACACAACAACACACACAAACAACACACAAAACACACAAACACACAAACGCACAAACACAAACACACAAACACAAACACACACACACAACACACAACACAAACAAACACAAACACACACGCACAAACACAAACACACAAACACAAACACAAACACACGCACAAACACACACACAAACACACACAAACACACACACAACGCACAAACACACAAACACACAAAACACACACACAAACACAAACGCACAAACACACAAAACACACACAAACACACAAACACACACAAACACACAACACGCACAAACACACAAACACACAAACACACAAACGCACAAACACACACAAACACACCAACGCACAAACACACAACACAAACGCACAAACGCACAAACGCACAAACACACAAACACAACGCACAAACGCACAAACACACACACAACAAACACACAAACACACAAACACACAAACACAAACACACAAACACACAAAACACACACACAAACACACACACACAACACAAAACACAAACACACAAACACACAACAACACACACAACACACAAACACACAACACACAACACAAACACACGCACAAACACAACACACAAACACACAAACACACAAACACAAACACACAAACACAAACACACACACACAAACACAAACACACAAACACACAAACACAAACACACAAACACAACGCACAAACACACACAAACACACCAAACACACGCACAAACACACAAACACACAAACGCACAAACACACAAACACACAAACGCACAAACACACACACACACACAAACACACAAACACACAAACGCACAAACACAACAAACGCACAAACACACAAACACACACAACACACACAACAACACACACAAACACACAAACACGCACAACACAACACACCACACACACAACACACAAACGCACCAAACACAGCACACAAACACACGCAAACACACACAAACACACAAACGCACAAACGCACAAACACACCAACACACAAACACACAAACGCACAAACGCACCAACGCACAAACACACAAACGCACAAACACACAAAACGCACAAACACACGAAACACAGTACTGTATTTTTTGGACTATAAGTTGCACTTTTTTTCATGGTTTGGGTGTTTCCTGCGACTTAAACTCTGGTGCGACTTATGTATTAAAATGTTCAGACCGACAGCCGCGAGAGGCTCTAGTCTTGTGTGTCAGTTTTCTGCGCATGTGGCCTGTTGCAAGTTGTGAAATATGCAGCAGAAAACGGGAATCGAGCAGCAGAAAGAAAGTTTGGAATGAGCGAGAAACTTGTGAGTGACTGGGGGGAAATGGGAATGGAGAACACAGCTTCAGGTGCACACAGATGCACCATGCAACTTTCCTGGAAGTCATTGGATGGATCGACAAATCCTGGACTTCAGTGACAACAGAAGTTGCATGGTGTTGCTCAGAAGTGACACCGAGGATGAAGAATTCAATTGATTTAGTGATTTGGAGTGAGATGGAGAGTTTGTTAAACGTGCATTTTGAGATAAAATATCGGTTCCTGGTCCCCGATTTTATAAAGTAAATTCCTCCCAAAAAGTGTGACTTATAATCTGGTGCAACTTATATATGTTTTTTTCTTCTTCATTACACATTTTTTGGCTGGTGTGATTTATATTCCAGAGCCACTTAGTCCAAAAAATACGGTACTTTCATGTTCATCTATAGGACTAAAGGATGTGACACGACGCCAATGAAGAGATCAAACTATAACTCATACACTTTTACACTTTATTATTTTACAAAGTCAAATACTTTAAAAAAACACACACATTATGCATTCTTAAATCCACTTTTAACCAGCTTTTGGTCACCTTGGGATCAGTATTTCACACGTTATAACTTATAATAATGTCTGCATTTGGAAAACATAAACTTCACCACGGTTTCCAGTGAGGCCTTTAGATGCTGTCAGCCGCTGTGAGAAAGTAAACAAATGAAGTCCTTAGAATCCTTAGAATGAGTCTAGTGTTGTTTTCTGGGCTTAAAAACTGCACAGGAGAAGTTCGGAATTTTACCTATAACGCAACAATCCTGTCAAAATGTCAAGTGAGAGTTTTTGAGGCTCAGAGAAGATGACTTTGGATTAATAGATTCATGAAACGAGTGTGAATGAAGCAAAATACAACTCCAAATTGATCTTGCAGCATTAGGATTTATTGGCTTGAAGGTAGACGGGTACTTTTTTTTATTTAACCAATCGCTGCTGTTTGGTCGTGACTTAATAATGCGCCAAATCCCGTAGGATAAGAAGGACAATAACGTCTTTCCTCTTGATAAAATTCACCAAACATTCTCTTTGTTCCGGCTTTAAATACTCGATCTCGGGAATCGTCGCCCACACAGAATGTCTGTCTTCGTCTACGTCCATCTCGACGCTTTGTTTACTGTTGTGTTGTTCAACAAAATGGACACAGACGCCACGAGTTTGACGTCATGACTTCACAACTCTACAACTTCCAGGGTTTTTGTGAACCGTCTAGTGTTTTCCGATTCCTGACCTATTCGCTGGAGAGAAATGAAATGATGCAGAGGCACTAGGTGAAAGACAGAGGAGGGAGAGAGTGCATTTATATGAATTGTCTGAGGGGTAAAGGAGGCAGGTTTAAAGTAAAATGCATTTGAAGTGTGAAGTACACGTGCCCGCCTCTGCCCTCTGCTACACCGCACGCTCTGACATGCTCCTCCATCTTTAATACGTCCAGATCTTTTTATCTCTCATCACTGATTCATGCGCAGGACAGAAAGGCCCGAGTGGAGCTCAGGTTTGTCTGGGACAGCAGAAGCCACTTCACACCAGGTGTTTGGAGGGGAGGTGTGGGCTCTAAAAGGTTGTGCCCTGATCTGTGCCAGCCTCTGGGAGAGTGGATCTGCTGGAGGTTCACATGGAGCTGTGTGGATGGATCAGGCGTCTCCTCAGCTCTGTGCTCCTCTGGGTCTGGGTCTGGGTCTTGGGTGTGAGCTCCAACCCTGAGGCCCCATTCACACTAGTTCGTTGTGGATGCAGTGTTCGTCCACATTAATCTGACTGAAAACGGCTCCAGAGACAAAACGATCTGGTGCCTCCAGCTCCCATGAACTCATCTGAGTACAGATCTGATCCGGCACCGTGTGGACGCCTGAAAACACTGATACTCTGTCTAGGGATGGGCATTAGATGAAATTTTTTAATCGAGCGTCGGAAGAATTAACGATCGATTATCGATTAATCATTAACGTTTTTATATTAAAATGATCATTGTTATTATTACTATCTGCATAAATAAATTCAACTTTACAACATATAAACCGTAACGACTCTAGAGCCACATCAGCCCGTTTGACATTATAATGTGTTTAATTCAGATTTGCGCAACTTTCACAGAAACAAAACTTAAAACCACATCGCTAATTTGCATAAACTAAGTGAAGAAAAAAAAAAAACAGCTCTTGTGTCGCTGATGTGGTTCAATTTCTGTCGGATTAAAAGACATGACTCAGGTGAATACAGGTTAGTGTGACCAGATTTGTGTTTGTCAAAACCAGGACAGCGTACGGGGGGAGGGGGGCGGGGCCTCGTCATCCACATTGAGCGACTCTCACCTGGTAAAACTTTTTCATGTTTTCGTGTCCTGGTGAACTTTTTCCCACTGGACACAGAAACATATGTGCTGCTTTATACACTGTGCACATGGACTCACACTTGTCCCGACCAGAACGGAAAACGTGGAATTTCTTGTACAAATCATCGTTAAATCCACATTTGTGCTTCGGTTCGTTACAGACTGACCCACTGTTTGTGTCTCGCTCCTTCTGATGCAGAGACACATGTACACACCTGTTTGGTCACACTACACACAGAAACCTACATTTGGTTTGTCGATTAAAATGAACGTAATTGATGAAATTCTTAATGATCAATTATCGATTAATCGACCTAACTCTGACGTAGGAGCTCTAGTTGTGTCCTTATTGGGACACATCACTGTGACTTGCGCCTTTCTGATTCTCTGGGTTCGTGACATCGGAAAACAGTTTAAACAAACCAGAGACAAACGGGAAACAGCGTCGCTAGAACTACTCACACAGAACAGACTCACCATCAGCAGAACACCCCTCTGTCACAGAAAGAACACTCATATTCCACTGAGTCGTGTCCTTCAGTCCGACAGAAGCTGAACCACATCAGCGAACAAGGAGCGAGCTGTTTTTTTGAGCGCTTAGTTTATCCAAATGAGTCATGCGGTTTTAAGTTTTGTTTCTGTAAAACGTAAACAAATATGCTTCAAATCTGTGTGGATAGGGGAAGACTTGCAGGACACAGAAACGACGTGTCTGGATGCAGATCATTTCCGATACGGTGATACAGTGATTCGTTTCAGTATAAACGTAACCTGAGACTCACTGGTTCTAAGGCCGGTCCGTCCTTGAGCGACTGTCACGATGGTGAAGATTAGGGCTGTAGTCTTAGTCAATGAAAATTTGTATTTGTCGACTAATCATTTTACTTAGATTAGAAATTAGGACTTCTATGGAACGACAGCTGAAAAGGAGAAGTGAGTGAAAAAAAAATTAGCATTTGTTCTTTGTTTTTTTTTTTGGTATTTCTCTGTAAAAAGTCAGATTAAACTCAAGATTCACAAGCTGAATGTGTTTTTTTTTATATATAAATACGTTGTTTCTGTTCTGTT